ACATCAGTGATTGCATGATTCTGGATTAAAGGTAACAATTCTTTAAAACATCTGGCTGAATGAATAGTACGAAGGGTATCTGAGCAACAAATGCTTTACCTTATGAAGGACAAATACTTTGCTAAAATACCTCAACTAGAAGCTGTGTGGTTTATAATCCCATCTGTATGAGCTTTGTTAGTGACCTCAGTGTAATCTTGTCAGCAAAAAGAAAAGTTCGACACACTATTAATAAGAAATCATTTTGATGCAAATTTTATGTGCAGTGTGGTGCCTTTCAGTCGGAAGAAGTTCATGAAACAAAATGTTTGAGCCACTACAAAACTGTCAAGCAACCTATCAAGCTTTTCAGTAAAATGATCTATGAACAGATTCTCTTCTACCCATTCTCAACAGAAGATTGAATGAATACTTTAGATATGAAACATGCAGAGACAACAAATTATATTCTCTTCAATTTTCTTATTTAGTAAATCTGAGTGATGTATCAGTTTTTTGTATAAAGAAGGAAAACAGAGTCAGATTGAAACTTCATGGATGGGTTCTTGGGTGAATTCTGGGTATAAAATGCAAGAGGCCTAACAAATCTTCTGGCAGAAAACGACAGCTCTCTGTTTTTCACCCAGTGAACTAACAAGTGAAATTTCACCGAGAAAGGTACTGGTAGAAAGATTTGTGAATCTTTGGAGGAAAAAGAAGGATGAGAGATTAAAACCTAGAGTATGTATCTGATCTTTTTATGTAGTATAAGACTCTTCTAAAAAATGCTTTGCTGCTCCTAAACTTTGCAATACTTAGGAACTTCTTTAACTTATTTGACAAACAAATATATCTTGCCTTTTGTCTACTCTTACATGAATTTCCATGCTTGCCTGCAAACGTTATCCTGCTCTGTAAGTAGGAATTTGAGGTTTGGTACCCATGAGAATGTTCCCAGTTCCCTCTGGTTTGTTTCTCCAGAAAGATAATGCCATAAGAATAATGCTTTGGAAATAATCTCATAACATTCTGCATTATTCCTTTCAAGGATCAAGCTCTCTCAGATAAGCAATATTTCACTATCTTACTTCAGCCTTTCTTAAAAACCTTGTTTTAAATGTCACAGATCCATGGGAGGGATGGGTGCGGGAAGGTGTCAAGGGATGCCAGGCAGGAGGTTGTTCATGTTCTCCTGCTCAAAGTTTCATTGATCTTCTTGGAAATATGAAATAAAAGAATGATACTTCCCATTTTCTTTCAATGCAGAAGGTGAGTAACTTTGATGGTATAAGGTGAGAGAGAGTCTATCTAGTGCTTCTTGCTCTTTCAGAAAGCAGGAAAGAAGAGAAGCTCAGCCAGGAGTTAAAGTATAAACATAGATGTTCAAAAAGCCTTAGATAAAGTATATCTTAAGAGACAGTAATGTAAGTAGGAAAAAGTTGAGAACCAAAATTTTGTTATGAGTAAAAAAAATTACCAAAACTCAAGGACTTGGCTTAGGAAAAAATGATTTCAACTAGTTAAATAGAAAGACCAATAGATATGGGAAAAGAGAAGTTAAATTCAGTGTTGACAAACATCAGTTAAAGTCTTTTGGAAGACACAATTTATTTATTTATTTTCATATACGTATAATAGTTTCTTAAATGTACATATAATAGAGCCTAAATTCAAATGAACTGCTCAGTAAGATTTGGGCAGTGCTCTGAGCAGTGGAAAGCAAATATTTGCTCAATGAGCAATGAATTAGGAAAGAAACTGGAGAGAAAATTTCTAAATTCATGGGAAAATCGAGACATTCCCACTACACAATGCAAACAACTTGCTCTTGCTCTGTATTGGATTAAGGCCATGCTACATTCCATTTGGAATCAATAATGACCCAATTTAGCCAAGCATTAAAGTCAGAAGGCAAGAGAGGACAAAGTTCTGAATTTTCAGCTACACATAGAAGTCTACCGAAACTTCAAAAAACTATTTGCTTACCTCAACAGCCTGATAAAATTCATTACTAAAAGATCACAAGAACTGGATAGTAAAGTTTCTCCTCCTCTAGGGGAAAACAGACTGGGACAAACAATAAATGGATGAATAGCTATTAGCAGCATGCTTTTTCATATTTGTTTGTGTTCTTGTTAAATTTCACTTCTTACTGTAGTTTGTGTCCATATTGAAAGTAACATCTAAAGAGTAAAACATGCCTGTCTTTCAAGAATGATGAAAGAGATGGAAAGCTCACTTACCTAAATGGGTGGGCTTTAAAAGTAGGTAGTTCAGAATTCTTTTCAACACTAGGTTGCCTTCTACTTGTATGTTATTCATACAATTTATTTGTAACACTTAATTCCAAAACTTTACAAAAAATGCTACCAATAAAAACAGGTTCTCTGATCTAGATTAAAGGAAAATATTAAGCGGAGCGTTACCGAAAACTTTTACATGAACTGCTGCTGATGTGCAATAGCAATGAAAATAAAGGAGATTTGCTTAAACATTTACAATTCATAATGCTACCACACTCTAGGTACTGTTTCACACCTCATTTAAAATAGGAAGAAATACATACTCATGCAATTTTGAAATTAATCAAGGAATATTTCTGAATGAGAGACAACTAAGTTTCTCTAGTTATATTCAAGGAAAACCAAGGATCAGAACTGAAGCATGGACCTCTGAGAGATTTAATCCAGTTGCCAAGTATTTCTTTCTATTTTGCTCTTCCAAAGAAACTGATTTATGTTTATGTTGTATTTATCAGTCAGCTTATATGAGGTTTCATACAGTCTTAGAAATGTTTTTGGTGACATTAGGAAAATGAAACTTGGAAAACTTCAAAAACTTTTTATATGAGAATGTGTTCTTTTTAGGATGATGCCTACAGACTACATTAAAAATACTATATTTCAAACATCTAGGGGAGTAACCATGGAAAACAGATTAGACCCCCTAGATCTGTAAACTCATGTGTTCATATTTGTTCTTAAACATGTCAATAAAACAACCTTATTAACGTGAGAAATTAAATCAAAGAATTGCTACATTCCATCACAATACAATTTTGCACAGAACTGTTAACAAGTTAAGTATTGAGACACTCAAACGAAATAAGTTGAATAGAATACTGTAGTTTAAAGTAACTTTCATCTGTATTTTGCAAGTAATAACAAATATATGAGCAGTTGCCCTTAGAGAGAGAATATGCTTTATAATATTCACCTGAATAAAAAAACACCTAAATGAAATAACTACGATAATACACATTTTTCTTTGTAGCACCAGTTCAAAGCTAAACCTGGGCATTAGTACGCTATAATTTCAGTGAAGGAAAATTGTAAGTGCTAGTTACCTGGCACTTTTAAAGCATATATAAATTCCCTGTAGAGCTACAGTAAAAAAAAAAAAAGTTATTTAAACATTCATGATGCCAGTATACTAAGAAAAATTAATTAATTAGAGAAATACTCGGCTTTTTATTTTAAATCTAGATTACAGTACCATTAAGCAAGTGCTGTTTCCAAAAATTATCAAGATTAGAAGCTTCAAGGGGAAAAAATCACTGTCTAAAAATTACACATCTTATTTATGAGAACAAAATTAAATATGGCAACTATCAGTATACATCATCTGAATCAAGCTATATACATGTAGCAGTATACATAACCTAAGTTTAATCTCATATAAGTTTATTCATTTGTTAAACAGGTAAGAACAAATATTTGGGCCAAATTTTCCAACACAGGTATAACGATTTAGACAACAAAAGAATAGGGTGAACTTATGTACGAGTATCTATTGAAGAGCTTCAATTGTGCCATGGTTTTAGGGACAGAACTACTGATCTTAATAGAGACAGAATTTTGCTTACAACAAAAAAAAATTGACAAACAAAAAAGAGAAAAAAACCAAAAAAGTATAAGCTCTTTGCAGAGAGGTTTGTCTCCTACTATATGTTCCAATGACTGTTGATAACAACACGGCCTAAGTGACAGCATCAAATAGCTGCCTAGAAAGTTGGAGATGCTACACTATGATCCTCCGTGTTCACTCAACTTACCAATGTTTTTGCACTGCTATTTTGAGACTATTGAGAATACCGGGATGCGTTAAACACAGTATAACCAGCTGGTCAAAAGAGGTGATTTATCCCTCTGTATTTAGCATTGGTGCAGCCTCACCTTGAGTATCGTGTGCAGCTCTGTGCCCCACAATTTAAAAAGGATGTTAAGGTACTTGAATGCGTCCAGAGGAGGGCAACAAAGCTGGTGAAGGGGCTGGAAGGAATATCCTATAAGGAGTGGCTAAGGACTATGGCGTTGTCTAGTTTGGAGAAAAGGAGGCTGGGGGGTGACCTCATTGCTCTCCACAGCTTCCTGAGGAGGGGAAGTGGAGAGGGAGGTGCTGATCTCTTCTCCTTGGTACTCGGTGACAGGATGCGTGGGAATGGTTCAAAGCTGCGTCAGGGGAGGTTCAGACTAGGTATTAAGAAACATTTCTTTACTGAGTGGGTGGTCAAACGCTAGAACAGGCTTCCCAGAGGTGGTCAGAGTGCCCCAAGCCTGTCAGTGTTTAAGAGGCATTTAGACAATGCCCTTATTAAAATGCTTTAACTTTTGGTCAGCCCTGAAGTGGTCAGGCAGTTAGACTAGATGATCGTTGTAGGTCCCTTCCAACTGAA